CAAGCCTTAATTGTTAAAACCTTGAAAGGTCCATTGAGAGTGTGTCTGTCTGTATTAATATCCCAGTTAGGAATTAATAATACTCAGTACTAGTATGGTATAGTAAAGTATACCATAGTGTGTGTGTTCTGCAGTCATACATACTGTTCCATTGTTAATACTTTCCCTGGCAGATTTTGACCTGAGCCAACCGTAATTCTCCCAGACCACGCCTGGACACGATTCAGGGAGCAGCACAATGCATAGACTTTCTTCAGAAGGAAAGGATGTAAGCCATTGTCTGTCACTTCCTTCTTCTGAGTAGCAGCTGATAGGATGAGAGGAAATGGCCTCAAGTTGCACCAGGAGAGGTTTAGGTTGGATATTAGGAAAAATTTCTTCACTGAAAGGGTTGTCAAGCATTGGAATAGGCTGCCCAGGGGAGGAGGTGAGTCACCATCCCTGGAGATATTTAAAAGACATGTAGACATGGCACTTAGGGACATGGTTTAGCGATGGACTTGGCAGTGTTAGGTTAAGGATTGGACTTGAAGGTCTTAAAGGTCTTTTCCAACCTAAATGATTCTATGATTCTGTGATTCATTTGCTCTTAAGCTCTTAAAATCAAGAAGGTCCCCGTCCCATTTGTTTTACAGTATGAAAAAGAATCTTGGATTCTGCACCGAAATGATCCCTTCTGATTGCTTGCTGTTTTTTCTAGCTCCTTCAGTGTTTTCAAAGTATCTGTTTTTGTTGTTGATGCCCCAAAGTGTCCAGACATTTGAGTCACAGTGAAGAGATCACTGGTACCAAACTGTGTTTTGTGTTCCTGACAGATATTCTGCCTCAGGGTCACTGGTGCTTTCATTCTTCCAGTCATCTTTCTGTAGCTCATCTGTAAAAAGTAGTAATATCTTTTTTTAAAAAAAAAAAAAAATAAATAAAGTGGATGTTTCTCACTTGATCCTTATTTTTTTGTCATATGTAAAATACTCTTTGAAATCTGATATTATACTTTGTGATAAAATATTATTATACTTTGCTTATGCATTCATATTTACCTTGACACCTGTTTGCTACACCATGGCTTCAACTTTTAGTCCATGTTTTTTTACCTGCAATCAGCATCTCATCAAGAAGCACAGAAGGTACAAGTGATATTTTGTTATGTACATAAGAAGTATGTAGGTATAGAGAATCTTATTTTGTACAAATCAGTGAGTAGACTCGTGAATGAGCTGTCAAAATATATGTGTTTTCCTGTAAAAAAGGGTGGGGAAAATGTCTGACTTAGGAGAGATCTTAAATATATTATCTGGAGGAAAAGGCAATCTGCTATATAAATATTTCAGGTTTTGAAATTGCAGCCTTTAGACTGATCTGCACTTAGAGGCCTGGCCTTATTTTGTAGCAGATAATATTATGTCAAGGCAATGTTTAGTTCTACTCAGCAGCTGTTGTATTCATACTAAATTATGTCAGATTTAATCTTGAATATATTCAACAAGAGCACCCAGTTGTGCTGACAAACCTAAAATCATTTTCAGTTAAACATGTTCTATCGGGAACCATTTCAGCACATCACCTCTCTGAAGAATGACAAAGTCAGTGTGCAAGCTCAGCTTTGTATTTCCCACTGCCTGCTGAATTGCCTTATTACAGCCAAACATTGCAGCAGCAGACTCGATAGGTATCCTACTGGAACGTTGCAGTAGCAGAGGTGGACAATGTGAGGCATTTTCTCAGGGATATTCTTTTCACAGTCATTTTAATTGCACATGCCTGGTTCACCATGCTTTCATATTAATTTGTACTTGTTCAAAGGGAATGCAATTTAATTTTAAAATACCCTCAAATCACTGCAGTACTCATTTTACACAGTGAAAGAGCAAGACAATAAAGTGGATAATTGGGTTCTCAGAGTTTTGTAAGAAGAACTGAAATTCTGCTTGGAGAAGAAACAATAAAAGTCAAGGTTCACTTGCAGAATACTCCAAAGAGTATCCTGTAAATCCTGGGTCAAATACATTGTACAGACAAGGCACCTTGTTAATTGCAGTGATGCTGTAATGAGGAGATGTCCTGTGTGATCTACTCTAGGTGGTCCTGCTCTGGCAGGGGGGACTAGATGATCTTTTGAGGTCCCTTCCAACTCCTAACGTTCTGTGATTCTGTAAAGATCAGGAGAACAGTGTGTGAGAACCTGGTTTAACTGGAGAAGAGCAGACAGCTGTAGTTGATGGAACAAAATCAGCTCTTTTGGAGAGCACTTCATTGCAGGAAACATGCAGGAGTGCTCTCAGGCGCTCCCAAGAGAAGCCTTTCTCCTTCCCGTACTCACTGCTGCGGGAGAATAGGAAGCTATGTGTGCCAAAAGTGGGATCGAAGAAACAATTCTCCCCTTCCCCAGCTAAACCCGCAGTGCTTTAGGGTGCTTATTTAAAATGTTGGAAAGTTCAGTTTATTTTTGTAGGAAAGTCTGAGTACTCGGCATGCTACCCTGCTGTATGCCTTAACCACTTTCTGGCTATTTTGGAGTTAGGCTTGCCACCTTGTCTGCTTCTGCAGTTCCAGTTTGTATAATAATGCAAAGGCTAGAACTTCTGATGAGTTTTATAATCCTTCTAATCTGCCATGACAAATACTTAGTTTTTTCATTATGGTGTGCAGTACCGTAGATCAATTTGAATGTGAATAAGCAATTTGCCCTCTCATGTGGTGCCCCAGTCAGCAGTTCCCAGGAGCTCCAAGGAGCAGTACATGTCTAGGAGTTTAATCTGCTGGGATATTCTGATTTTGAAACAAGCATTTGTGTTATAGATAGTGACAGTAAGAGTCAAGGAGTTTGATGTGCTAGGTTAGGATGAGAGGTTGAGCTCTACACCTCAGTTCTGGTTTCCAATTCCGGTCTCTGCTCAGAAAACTATACAAAAAGAAAGACCATTTAGAGCAGCAATTAAGAGACATCATTTCTTCTATAACCTGAAGATTGAGGGAAATTCTTAGCATAGTCTGGTTTAAGTAACTTAAGGAAGCACAAATATCTCTTTATTTAACACCTGCAAAACCATCCTACACTGCGGGCAGATGAAGGGAAGTGTGTGGTCCTGGCTCTCTTGGGCGGTTCCTCCTGCTGTGCTGCATGGGAGGTAGGAAGGTGAGGTCAGACAGAAAGGAATTCTTGGTTTTTGCCCCAAAAGACAGTCCTTTTGGGCATTCCTCAGCCAAGCACAAAGCCATGGGCAGGCTGCTGGAAAGGTCGATGGGGACTCCAGGTTAGCTTGTACTTGCAGACCTGTGTGCAGATGCGAGCGCTGCTGCCATTCACTGGGCCAGCAGCAAGGTTTGGATCGTCCTTATCAAGGCAGAAGGTGCTTCTGGCTCATTAGCAGGTGTGTGGTTACTCCTCCCTTCATCCCTGCCGAGCTGGTAGAGAAGCTGGTTGCTTGTGAATGGCTGAAATAGGAGGGAAAAATGTGTCCGAACACTTAAAAATAATCCATCTGATTGCTTTTTGGGCTAGCAGGAGCAAGAGGCTATAGGAAGATAAAACCTAAAGAGTGTTTTGTGAAGGCACTGTCCTAGAGTTGGGTGGAGGTCTTGCTTCATTGTGGAGTCTCCTTCCTTGGAGATATTCAAAACCCACCTGGATGCATTCCTGTGCAACCTGCTGTAGGTGAACCTGCTTTAGCAGTGGGGGCTGGACTAGATGATCTGCAGGGGTCCCTTCCGACCCCTGCCATGCTGTGATTCATTTGTAAGACAGCTGCTTCTTTGCAACTTTAACTCCTTGTGGACTTGCTAGCATTGTGTTTCACATGTTTCTGTAGGCATAGCTGAGCAAGTGCTGTCTTCAAGGTAGATTAATGCTGATCACTGTGAATTTTCTGATCAGTCTGGCATCTGGAAAGTACTTTCTCAGCTGATGTCCATTTACTGAAAATGCATTGTGTGAGCACCATTTGGACTTCTAAGGCTGTATTCTTGTAGCTCAGGTCACTGGTGGTGATGATGGAACTTGCAGGCAGCTCGTTTTACTCCTTCAACATTCTTCTAAGTTAGAGCTTCGTCCTGAATGCAGTAAAAGTAAGGAGGGAGCCAGAATCATTCTGCTGTGGCTAACATTACTTCGTATGCTTGGTTGAGGGGGAAAGTCTAGCACATTTCAAAGAACAGTTTTCCCTTAAGTTTCATTTCTGCCACCTCTTCACATAGGAAAGGAGGAGAAGACAGTTTGATAGTGTGCTGCCAGTTAATTAGATTTTGGTTTCAGGCAAGAAATGACAAAAGTATTTCAACGTTATGTATTTTGGGTAAATCAGAAATCCAGGAATAGGAGCGTAGGTTCCTATACAGTACGTAAGTTAGCACTTCAGCGTGGCAATCCGTGAAGTCTTCTGTATTCAGTCTACAGCTGTCTATTAGAAAGAGTTCCAAAGCAGAGAGAAGCTGAGATACTTAACTCAAAGCTGCAGGAAGATCCCACAGTTTACTTAGTGAATTTGTGGCCAGACATGTTTTCATTGCAGTAGTTGCCTAAAATAACTCTTTCCAAGAATTGTGCAGGATGTTTGAAAGAGAGACTAGGTGGGCATTCAGAGCTTTAATCTCCTAAATGTATTTCAGAGGACTATTATCTTTAGTATATATTGGTTTTTAACTAGGTGGACTGATGCTTTATCCTTCTTAGGAGATGCATTTTTATTGCCATTCAGGAATGTTATAGAAGGTGTTCACTAGCTTCCTTAGGAAAGTGTTATGATCTAGGTGTCCTAAGAACTTCTGGATCTCTGCTTGGATTTCATTAGAGCACATGGTGTAACTATTATCCCTGGATATAGTATGTAGACTGCTGGTATTTCATAATGTTTTTAAGATGTGATCATACAACTCTCTGTAGTATCTACATATTGTTATTCTCTTATTTTTATTTGCCGTGTTTCTTGTCTGTATTTACAGAACTATTCCAAGCTACCTAGTCTGATGAAGCTGAACTTAATTCTTCAAGTGTGATTTATTCAATGCAGCCTAACATCATGATGAAAAAGAACATACCTGCAAGCAAAGCTTCCTTGGTCCTCTTTCTATGCCAAATGATTTCAGCATTGGATGTACCTCTTGACTGTAAGTATTAACCTGCTAAATAAGTCCAGAATAATGGAAGATTAGTTAAATAATTTCTGTGTAGGAGGATGAAGATAACTCCAACATGGAGCTAAACATAGAGTGTGTGTGCTCACTTCAGTTAGAACATTATGATTATGAATATTTCCACTAATTTACTGAAGATTTAAAAAAACTGTGCATATAAACTTACTTATATTGTGCACTTGAGAAGGGTTAACACAGGATTCTCATGAATACTCATATTTTGGTGTGCCTTTATTGAACGCTTTATTTGATGAAAATGAAGAAGGGCAGAGAAGCCCAGTTTATGTTAATTATTTGTGAAATTAAGATGATATTGATATTTTGCTGAAAACTCCAGGAGAATTCCTAGTTGCTGTAGACATTCACCCTTATCTTCATATAAGAGGTTTCCACAAGCTGATATGAGATCTAGTAAAATGTTCAAATGCCTAAAATTCAGACACTGGAAGCATCTTACTTTTTTGATCCAGAAGAGTAAGGTAGGCTCTTAGATTTCCTAAGCAGTGCCTAACTTTAAGTTAAAAACACATGTGCTGAGCCAGGAACTCTAGCATTAACCAGTGAGGAAACATCTAGAAGAGGGGAAATTTGAAATTCTTGTCTAATGTGAGACTGTGTTAGTGGGGAACCTTGAAGGTAGCACTCCATGCTGAAGAGGAAGCAATGATAGCTGCTGCATTTTATAGCCCTAATAGCTGATTTTATGAAATTATTCATGCTTCAGGTTGTTATTTTCTTCTTGAGATGAGCATGATCACATTTTCAGAATTCAGTGAACCATGTTGCACTCATAGTGACTATTCATCTGTTAAACTAATTACCAGAGAAGACAACATTAGGGCTGGCGTTAAATCGATGGATTAATACATCAGTAAATTTGCCTATGATTCTAATCTGCATGGTGTTCTTTACCCCCATGTTTTTGATACCTTCCTACTTTCCATAAATGAACATTTCTCTTTAATAATCATTGAGATAAACTGCAACTGCTGTGTTTTTTTTTTCCCCATGCATATTTACAAGCTTCTCAGACCAATGACCTGTATTTCTGTAACAAGATCAATGTATCTGAATCACATCAGACTTGTGCCTGTGAATGCCTGTAGAGCAATAAACTGTGGCTTCAAGAGCTTTAAAAGTTTGATGAATGAATGTCTTATTTTCACCCCAAATATTTTTGCAAGCTAGAAATAGTGTTTTAAACACGTCTTGTAGTTTAGGAACTAATGTAAATTGTGCACCACTCTAGTATCTTTTGTATAGAGGAACACTTCAGGTTAAATTAACCAGAAATACATCAGTAGACAAAAATGAGTAACCCTTTTAGATATATCATGTTAACTCTCAATTAGTTCCCTACTACATACTGTTTAATAACTTTATTAAGTCTGGTAAAGTCACAAACTTGAATTTTTAGCCAAAAGTCATATTAACCAAAATTACATCTGTAATGATGTTACTGCTTTCATAAATAATGATTAGAATGGGCTGTGGGAGAGCACCACAAGGAAAGGACTTACGTTTTCTGTGGGTCTTCTCTACCTACATAGCCATCACGGAGCCCTGGTGGTTAGAACACACTTGATTAGCTGAACCTTTAGGTTTCATCCAGATTAGCAGTTCCTATGCTCATCAGGGTCTCAGAGTAGGTAAGGGATGACTGTTAATGTAGCTGACCAAAAGCAGTTTGGCTTGCTCTAAAACATTACTGATGAGAAGACGTGTATACAAAATACTTGAAGTAAGCAAAGACGTGACAAATAAGGTGATTTTTTTTTTGTCTAGTTATTTTTCAGACCGGAAGGGATTGCCTGTCTGTTGAATAGCATTAGGTGCTTTTGTCTTTGTAAGAGTAATTTGTAGCCTGAAGCATTCTCTTTGTTCTTCCGTATGATTATATGGGTAGATTGATTTTGACTGCAGCATGAGGGCAGTGCACTCCATTAATTCTGATTTGCTGTCTTCTCAGTATCAGTGTTTTGTGTCCTCGCAAGGCCAAAGTCACATACTGTGGTTGCCCTTGAAAAGTCAACACTTCAGAAAAGTTTCTCATACCTTGAACTTTGAGATAAATGTTGTAATATCTGACACAATGGCAACAGTAGCTAGAATTTCAGGCATCACCGCAAGGGTTACAGTGGTAAATGTTTTAGATGTTTTCTTTTTAATGGTGACCAATGTACTTGTCAGACTTATCTTCCCTCTCAGAAATGCTAATTTTCTTTTAACTAACAAATGTTTCTCTTTAATCTCCATTTGTCCATTCAACTGCTGATTCTGATGGGGGAATAAAAGCAAAACTTCTAGAAGAATGTAAGTTCCTGTCCACAAAAACTAGGCTGTGTGCTGCTGAAAATTAATACTGATTGTGTTGCAAATTGAATTTGCAGTCCAAAAATGTGTGATTCTGACATTTTGTTGATAATTTGGTTTGCTGTAGCTAGATGTTTTGTGCATGCAGTGTTCAGAAAATACATAAATCAGTGTTCTGATATTTTGAACAAATTAATTGTGTGATTTTTGATTGTGCGCTATCTGAACATTAAAACCTTTACTCAATATCAGCATGAGCAGTGTTTTATTACTACTTTCAGGAGTAAATGCATTTGATAAAAAATAAATTCATTGGAATATATGTACTTATATACTATTTTACTTTTATATCCTAAAAATCAATGGATACAGTTATTAAGTATACCTTATCTTTTATAAGATCTCCTAACTCGGCTCTAGTGTCACGGTTAATTTAAAAAGTTCTAAGTGCAGTACATAGCACAGGAGTGGAGACTTCAGGTCTTTGATGTGCATCAGATGGAATATACAGTAAGTTGGGCAGTGTTCGTGTCATCTCCCTTTTCAGAGTGTGCTTGCTTTTCCCAAATAACCATCTGACGTGTACTGACCCCCAAGAGCTGCCTCTGAGAGGGAAAAGGACTGTCTTCAAAGTGCCTTTCTAAAGAAATTCACAAAAAGCCAGCATGTAAAAATGTTGCCTTCTTTAAGCACTCTCTGCAGTGAGGAAGAGGAGGAAAACCTGACACCGCATGGCCTGTTCTGTTCTGCTTAGCTGCTCTATCTCATTATGATTCCATGATCTGCTTTTTTTTCCTGGCTATTTCTTGTGAGTAGGGCTTTACAGATGGCTGCCTCTTTCTGTGCAACAGAGTACTTGATGTGTAATGGTAGGAAAGACTTAAAATAAAAATCCCAGCTTTACAATTTTAACTGGCTGGAGTGAGGCATGGAAACATAGCTAACTCTAATGATTGAATATTTTACTAAAGTGGCTAGAAGTGACCCCAAAGTACTAGCAAAGTATATTGCCTGACAGGCAATTTACAACATTTAGACAGGGATGTTCACAGGAATGTTATTAAACTGGTTGCTTTAGATGACACTGATCTATAAACAGATGAATAATATTGAGGAAGACACCTTTCTCACTGTCTTAATATCATAAACAGGATTTTTTTAATGCAAAAATGGGTGTAGATAATGGTAACAGCTTATAAATTACTTGAAATAGGTAGGCACTAAGAAGTAGTTGGTGAATAAATTCTGGTTTGTGCTACTCATTCTAGAGTACTTGATAAATCATAAATGTTCAGTGTTTGTTTCTCCTGGGGCAAGTCACAAGATTGACTGTATTTTTGTTGCTTTTTTAAAGGAGAATCAGTACTAGACTTTTCCTACATGTTTACACTATTTGGAAACTAGTTACTATTTTTGTCATTTTTTACAGAGTCTTATAACACATTTTTTACTCCTGAAAAGTAGCTCCTCAAAGCATGCTTTGTAGATTAAATCAATATGTTGAGCACAATAAATGTGTGAAAAGTTTACACCCATAGAGAATTTGGAAATACATAAAATGTTGAGAAATGCAAAGCAAAGTACTTTTTTTCCTTCCACGTGGTAAAAAACATTTTGTGTGGATATATGTCTTGCAACTCTTCATTCAGGATATGTTGGACTTAGAATTCAAGTGTCCTTTGGTTTTGTGAAAATCTGTTGAAATCTGACATACAGAAATTACATTAATCAAACTTTTTGGCCAAGATCTTATCCGCTCTAAATTGGCGTAGCTCAGTTGGAAGTTAGTATAGCTACATTGATTTATAAAAGTAGAGGGCTTCAGCCTCCTAATACAAAGGATACTTTAATCCCGTTCTTCTGTCGATGATTTCGTTGCTAATTGCAATTCTGCTTTCTCTGCTTACGAAACTGTCTTACTGTTAACTTTGAAAATGTTGTTAAATTCCTCTCTGTTTCTTATATTCCATAATGAAGTGTCTCAACCTCCTACGATAACTCAGCAATCTCCAAAAGATTACATTGTTGACCCTCGAGAGAATATTGTAATACAGTGTGAAGCAAAAGGAAAGCCACCTCCTAGGTTAGTAGCATTTTGGTTTGCTTTTGTTGGCCTGACAGCATAGGAAAACTAGAAGAAAATAATGTAACTTTTGTAAACTAACAAATATATGCATATGTATGTGCTTGCACACGTAGAAACATGCATGCAGTCCTCCCTTTGTAAATTAAACGCTACTGTATAGTGGCATAAGTTTGATTTTTCTCATATTTGACATTTAAACTTTTCTATAGTCATCAAGCAACTCTAGCATTTTTTTTCTCCTCAAAGCTTGAATGATCAAATAATAATAATTATTACAAGAGCAGATAGGTAAATGACTGTGGAAAGCACTAAGAGGCATGCCGTACTATGAACTGGATCACATTCCAGATTTAGGCGTAGTGTCGAGGAAGAATGGGCATTGAATGAAATTCAGAGTAACGCTAATAAATTCAAATTTAAAGTTTTGTAAATCATTCTGTTTTACAAGGCTTATTTTGAAATACATAAGCATTTTGTCAGAAGTTATGTAATGTGTATCAGTTTTGACGATCAGTAGCCTTGATTTACCACGTGTATTTAATAGCCTTAAGATTTTGTTTTGGCAGAAATGGTAACCCTGCGTATAGATCAGATTCCTGATCCTTGTCCATTTTAAGGCTCTGTTTCAGTATCTTGAAATATTTGAAGGCTACTCCTTTCAAGATACTGAGTACATGCATTGGAAACAGCAGTAGATGTGATGCATTCTGGCATTGCTAGTAACTGCTACTGATTTCAGAGAAACATGCATTTCTCTTCTCTCAGTAGTGTTATGCTACAACTTACTAGCAAGGTCAGTCTATAATTGTTCATTCAGACACACACAGAGCTCACTAAATGTACTTCTTCTGAATAACCACGGGTTTGTCTACATTATTCCTTCTCGTTGCCTTGTGATCATGGTCTTTACCATGCTGGGCAGCAGAATGGAGAAGATGGAGATTATCTGTGTTCTGTTAATGGTAGGAGTGCCATAAAGCTGCTCTGTTTACCAGCATTTTAAATTTAGCGAGCACAATGCCGTTCTCAAGTCTGGGTGTTGACCTCGAGGATCAGATGATTCTTGTGCACTTTGGGACAACTGTACTGCTTCTGAGATGTTTCTTTTGAACGCTTTTTTTGGGTTGGATTTACCTGAGCGAACAAGGGCACTGTCTGTGAGACTGACATACCTGAGACATGTGCCAGGGCTCTCTGCTGTACAGCCTCATCTTTCCCATCAAACCTGTGTCTCACTTTGTCCCCTGCTACAAAGGAAGTGACAGGATTTAAATGCAGACTTTTCTAATGAGTTTCACAAGCTTGTACTTAGTTTTGCTTGTTTTTAAAGACATGACATCCAAATATTTAATTTCAGTAGTTAGTCTGGTCCATTAGTCTTGGTGACCTGTAAATGCATATTGGAATTTGAACTGCTTCAAATTTCTGAACTTGAAGATGAACTTTCTCAGCCTGGAATGCGTATTGTATGTTAAAATGGGGTAACTTCTTACTGGTGAGAGCAGCTGACATAAAGGTTTATGGATGTGCTGCTACCTGTAGATTGAGCAGCAAAGATTCTGATTTTCATATATCTCAAATTCAGGGTTTTGTAACAAATTTGCCACCTCTCCTTTGAAGCTACATTACAGTTCTCTTTATCCTTCAGTGTTGTTGGTAGCAGAGGATTACAGAAACCCCACTTCTGTAACCTCACCCCCAGGTTTGTAAGAAACAGGTTCACTGTTAGTTCACTCTGCATGCCAGTCCTCCCAGAAACACTGCAGTGTGGTGCAGTGCTGCTGGTCAGGGCCACTTCTTCTGCCCTCCCCCACCACAAAGTGCAGATATCGTGTCCAGTCCTGCCCTCCTGCTGCAGAAGGTCAGCGCACAATTTGAGTCACTTAGAATTTGAGCTTTTCCAGTACTACGTAACTTTATACTTTTAGGAAGCATTCTAACCAGTAAGCATACATAGTCCTTGTGTTTATGAAGCTAAAATGTAACAAATATGAAAACTGCTCACAGCGCTTGAATCTGTGAGTGCTCAGCACTTCACAGCCCTTGGTCTAGCTCTCTGTAACTGTACTTTTGACCATTAGGAAAGCTAAGTAAAAATTGATGTTTACAGTAGTATGAGTGCAGACTGTGTATCTCTGCTTTTTAAAATTTTTTTATGAGTTCTAATAGTCTGCATTTTTAGTGACTACTTTTCAAACCATCTCTTGCTTTGAGTAACACCAGTATAAATTTACTAGATTGATTATGGGCTATCAGACTGCAAAATTTCATTTAAAGAATCATGGTTGGTTGCGTGAAAAGAAATCAAACTCACCACACGGTCTTTAATTCACTTGCATAACTTTAAAATGGCCAAGCCAATTAAAAGAAATTGTCTCCTGCTGGGACCTGAAATGACACATTTCAGCCCAGAGCAAGTTTTTAAAGGCAGGTTTATAAACCCTTTCAACAATAGGTTTTATAATGGAAATGCTAATGCAGCTTTAGCAATATCAGTTCTCGCAGATGTTACTGTATCATCTTTAGTAGAAAGAAAATCAGTTCTTTTACACGTACAATTAACTTCAGAATCCTTTAATGTATTTTTTTTTTAAAAAATACTGACTTTGAAATCGCTCCTGTTAACAAGTTCAGCCAAGCCTTTTATTTTAAAGTACGGCCAGATTTCTTATATTAAAAAGTGCTTTATTACTTTATTAGTTAATTTCGTTTGGGAAAAAATCCTTACCTGCTAAAGAAAAAGTACCATGTGTTATTGAAAATTACTTTTTTCTTCTTTCTGTCCATACAGTCTACAAAAGACAACTTTTCTTTTTGTTTTTATTATTTTAGCTTCTCCTGGACACGAAATGGAACTCATTTTGATATAGATAAAGATGCACAGGTAACAATGAAACCAAATTCAGGGACACTTGTCGTAAATATTATGAATGGTGGGAAGGCAGAAGCATATGAAGGAGTATACCAGTGTACAGCAAGGAATGAACGAGGAGCAGCCATTTCCAACAATATCGTTATAAGGCCTTCGAGTAAGTGAATCTCTTAATATTCATAAAATGTGAGACTCTTTGCTTTGCTTACTTTCTTATAAATGTTTTCCTTTTATTCTCCTGTCTTAAAAATTTAATCATCAAAGTGATCATATTAGAAGGTAGTGTATAGTTTCTGATATTCAGATTTTTATGTATTGTGTGTTCTCAGCAATGTTCCTTAGAAAATTTAATAATCAAAATGCTTTCCTGTTTTTTTTTTTGGTATGTCTGGATGATCTATCATGTATAAAATTGGGCTGTATATATGACACTACAATTAGAATAATATGTCTAAAACCTTAGTGCACATCACTGGTGAGAACAATTTGTATTCTCTTTCAGATGCATGTATTACATAGTTTTATAATAGCTTTAATACAGAACAGATTGGGACCAAAAAGAAGATAAAGCTAAAAAATTTTGATTAATGGTAGACTGCTTCTGCAGCTTTTTGTGTGATTTTTATCTCAGACCAATTTTTCAAGCTTCTCAGCTTAAAACATGCTGTTTTCACATGTTTTAATAACACTGTGTCTGTATAATACTGTTTCAGGAAGGTCTACCTTTTTTTCATTTTTTTTTCATTGTTGTAGTTAAAACCTTCCAAGATACTGTTACAGAACTTTAATGAGTAGCCAAAATAATTTGAATCGGCTGATTATACTTTCAGCAAATCATTGCTGTACAAAATGTTTTAAAGAATACCTGTTTTTCTCCCAAGAAAACATAAAAAAGAACAAAAATTAAATCTTTAGTAAAAACAATGGGACTTAACATTCTGATGCATGTAGTTGTTCTGTTTTTCTGGAATATTATGTGCATTTCTCCCTTACATTCTGGAATTTTTGTCAATCCATAGTTCATATCTGTGTAAAAATTGCTTTCTGTAGGATCCCCTTTGTGGACGAAAGAAAAACTAGAACCAAATCATGTTCGAGAAGGTGATTCACTAGTACTGCACTGCAGACCTCCTGTTGGCTTACCACCACCTATAATATTTTGGATGGATAATGGTGAGTTTGGATTTTATGCAGAATTAGTTTACTTTTTGCAGTTTTTCTACGTAGTTGATCGTTGCTTACCAAGACCACATGTGGTGGAGTTTCCCTCTTAAGTTAAAATTCAAAGAATTTCCATTTCTGTAGAAACGAAGAAACAAGCAGACATGCAGCCCAAAACCACGAAGCCAAAAGCAGCTGGAGATCTTAATGTAAGTTGTAGATTAACCCACTGGGGAAGAATGGGAAGATAAGGGAGCTCGAGAGGAAAGTTAGAAATGTCTATATATTTACAAACCCACAAACAGCGCAATCAAGTGAATGTGGAGTCTGCAGATCATAATATTGGAGTGAGTATTATAATTGAGATAAATGTGTTATTGTTTTCCCTTAGCTTTCCAAAGGCTGCCTCAAAGTGAAAGAGTTTCCCAGGGTCTGAATGGAGACCTTTATTTTTCTAATGTACAACCAGAAGACACTCGGGAGGACTATATCTGCTATGCAAGATTTAATCATACGCAAACTATACAGCAGAAACAACCCATTTCTGTAAAAGTCTTTTCAAGTAGGTATTGCATTACCTAATTACATACTTACATAGTATTTATGCAGAATTCTCAAGTTATTTGCCAAAGTTAAGTAGTGTTATGCTAGGGAATTTTGTCAGTTTAATTCTGAGTAAGAAATTACATTACTGTGTAAACTCAGAATGTAATCTCCAGTTTTCCTGACATATAATTAATTTTAAAAGCTGTCATTTTTTCCTTTTACAAGACTTTGTCTTTTGAAAAAATATTTTGTAAGATTTGAAATATTGGAAAAATACAGTGTAAAAAATAAGAATTTTCAGATGGTTTTCATGTCCAAGAATATCAAGTTATTATGATTATTGTAACTATTGAAACAAATTAATCAATAATTTGATTAACTTGCCATGGCCATATCATCACCTTTGGATTCCCAGTACTTTGATTTATCCCTCTTGTATGCATTCTTCATGATATTCTGTTTATTTCAGTGGATTCATTGAATGACACTATAGCTGCTAATTTGAGTGACACTGATATTTATGGTGGTGAGTTACACTGGTGCCCACTGATACTCTGTGTTTCACAGTAGCATTTAGTTAACTAACTTCACCTTCATGGCTACTTAACCTTTTGCTCCCTTTTCAGTTTCTAATAAAGGTATCTATTAGTGCTGGTGATAATACATACTATAGAAAGGGACTGCACAGTGTGATCCTTTCAAATACTTAATGTTTCAATGTTACTGTGACATATGGCTCATAAAAAATGTAAACTCTTATAATAAATGAGTCCTTTCACACTGGGCAGATTTTTAAAATCATCTTATTTGATTGCTTCTATACGGTACTGCTTATTTATATTTTTCCTCCAATTTATCTAGTAGTTTGATATATTCTTTATCACTAGGACTATTCAATATCATATGCTGCATAATAAATAACAAAAATTAAGCATTTAACAGGCGCAATTCACATTTAACAGCTTATTGAATGTATGATTCATTTTTAACATATTTCATAAGTGTAAAACTGGAATTTACTAAAATCTAAACTTTAATACTATCTGTATAAAAAACTTTGTAGGGGAAAGATGAGTTTTGTTTGTCTGGTGTTTAAGCTGATCTTTACATTAATCGATGTTGAATGGTCATTTGTATATTGTGAATTAAATCCTCCCAAGCAGTCATATATGTGTTTAGCAAGGCTGAGTTTGAAGCATATAACTGTGTATGATACTGTAACACTTGGGGTTCCAGATTCTTTACTTGATGTTGTGTGACATAGATTGAAAATACATGATATTTATTCTATTTTTTTCCTTTTCCTTGTCAAATGACGCTTGGTATGTGTTCAACCACAGCTTGTGGGAATCTAAAATAAAACAGGGGCATAGAATATTTTGATTCTCTGCATAAAAATAAGATGTCATTCAGGAACAAACAAGAAATATGTACCTGAACAGAGAATGATATATTAGCTAAAATTAGTGAGGAAAACAGCATTTGATTGACTCACAGCTCAAAAATACCAGAGGTGATTCTTCTCAATTATGCAGTTCTTCTGAACTCTGCAAAATGAGTCAGCAGGCCTCAGTGGTTCCAAACCTTGATGTATTAGTTATTGCCTGTGACTATCAACTGCATTCTTGACTCCAGGTGGCCCTTTTCTTCCAACTTTAAGTTTTTCATGTACTAGTTTTTAAGGAATTCATAGCACATACAATATTAAAATTAAATATTCTATTTATGTTCATCTATCAGTAAATCCTGTACCCTAATAAACAAGAGTTTATTATGTTTCTGCTCACATTTTTAAAAAGTACAAAAAGTACTATCATTTACTGTAGTGATTCCGACCACTACTATGCTTTAGACCAATTTAATCCTATATTTTAGAATTGCTATAAAAGAACATTAGAGTATTTACAGAAAGCACTCTTATTCTGACTTCCATGAAGGCACATGGAATACCATAACACTTCAAAAGCCAGCAGAGTTTAATGTCAGAAATGAGTCTTACATTTATAGCTGTCTGTTTACTGTGGGTGTTTCTTGTGGGTTAGTCAATGGTTCTTTATTACCAGACTGGGGAACAGCTTGAAATAAAGTTAAATGTTTAGTAACAGGAGAATACAAGGCTTAACTTCTGAAAAGATGCTTCACGTTGTGTAGAAAATACTGAACAAAGCACGTTGCAAAGTGGAGTGTACGTTTTATCCCCTTGGTTTATATTTCTGCATACAGTAACTTTGCTTTATTTGTGTTTCTATGGAGGCCCAGAAATTTTTGGTAACTTTCAGTCTTGCACTGTGATGCATGTCAGTGACCTCTTATTCCCTGTTATAGTTTTGCTGGAGTGAATAGGGGCTGCTTAGGATTAAGGCTCATCATCCATCCATCAGGCTGCATAGTTGCCTGTGTAAAAACTATGTATCAATTGCTCCTGTCATTAATAATAACATTTTTCATGTATGTGTTCAAAATTATTGCGTTTAACAGGTTGAGATATGTTATGTCTGTCAAAAACCTGATTTGTTGAGCTGTGTAGTTTTCTAACACAGTGATTTTTAATTAAATGGCCAATGTGGAGCAAAATCTCTGTCCAAAGTGTGGGAACATATGTATGCATTTGATCAGTATTAAAATACAATTTAGAAATTAATTATTTTATTTTTTCTTTTTCCAGCAAAGCCAGTTACAGAGAGGCAGCCAATTCTTCTAACACCAACAGGTAGCACAAGTACCAAAGTGGAACTCAGAGGAAATGTGCTTTTGTTGGAGTGCATCGCAGCAGGATTGTGAGTTACTTTTTAGACAGTGTTCTTCTAAATAAAAATACAGAAAAAGAGAGAAGCATTTCAGAGACGCTTAAAATTTACCGCTGTGTAAGCTTAGTTATTTCAGAGAAACAGAAATGTAAAATGGAAAGAGCTTTTTTAAGGAAGTGCATCATTTACTGTATAGCCTCTGCCTTCTCATAGCCTCAAACCCTATGCACAGGATTCAGGTTGTGCCATTGTTTTTTTAAAGGCCACAAGCAAGAAATGCCATAGGGTAAACTTGGACACATATCTGCAGAATTCCAGTCAGGAATCAAACCTCTGTGTTTTTTCCTAAATTTACAATCATTAGGCTCTCAAAGTATATAAAAATAGATAAGAATCTGCTGGTCTAATCTGAAAAAACTGCTTACCTATACTAATGATTACTTAGTAGATCAGCTAGATGGGAGTTGTTAGAGCATACCTTCAGCTCCTTACATCAAGTATCTCCTTGTAATTGAGTTTAATTGGTACTTGTTTCTTCGATGTAATGCAAGTTTGCTTCTGCTGGTTATTGTTCAAGTAGAAAATGACTAAAGAGCAATTTAACTTCATGAATTAGTTGGATCTTAAATCAATTTCATTCTCAGGAAGAAATCTGAGAATAGATTGGTTAGTGCAGAAGTGGAAAATCTTTAGTACCTATTTCAGGAATTGTAAACATGTTTACAGTGCACAAAAGCACGTAATGCAGAGTGCTCTGAGGTAGCCATGAGGAAAACCAATAATTGCAAATGGTGTAGCACAGCATCATACATTTGTGTTCACTTGCATAAACTCCATAGGGCATACTCATGCACAGCTTGACACAGCTTGATCCAAGCATCAGTGCCTTCTGTCTCAGCTGTGGTCTGCTCAGGTGTCTGCATCAGCACCACTAGAAAAAGCACACCTATGAGTGGGAGTAGCATCAACTCAGGTAATCCTCATCTGCAATATAGTTACGTGCTTTTTGAGAACCCTGCAATAAAAGTATTCAGCGATCCAAACTCCAGTAAAATGTACTGGATAAAAACAGGGGAAAAAATTAGCATGTTCTATATAGTATGGCTTTCTGGCTTTAGCCATCATGTAATTCAAAAAAGAAAAAAAAAAAAGAAATTCAATGAGGGAAGCTTACATAGTTGTTCATAAAGGGCCAGATTCAGATTTTGTTTAAAACAACTATTCATATTTACTGTTACCATAATTAAAAGTCAACTTTGCTAGGTGTCTCTGTGATAAGATACATGATAGTAGACTGCTAAGGGAATATTTGCCTGGAGTCATTACTATTTGAGAGAGGACATTCTACTCAGTAAGCAACACCTTGTAATTTCTTATAAAAGTATGTCTCTGTGTTTAGACAACTTTCAACTTCAGTGAACAACATGGGGCATAGCCAAGATTTAGACATGGTGCAGCCACATGTAGCTATACTTGACTCAGCACTGACATTTTTTTCTTGGTTTCTCATAGGAAATATTTCTGTCTCTTTACAGCTCTGCTGTAAAATTTATGATGTTCATGAAGCATTAGGATATTGCTTACACGAGGGCAAATTATAAACTTGTCATTGTCTAGAAGCTACTTTTTAAAACACCACAAGCATCAATTTAATGGTATAAGTGCAATAAGATTTGAAATACACTTGTATTCATTTATTAACCATCAGGGTTTTTAGCTTAATCAGCAGACAAATGTATTCTATAATTATTAAGCCTACGAACAGATGGCCGTTGACAGTGTTAGTGAGGCTTGTCATTTCCTAGAAACAATTGCTGGCATATTTTGCACATTTGCTGGACATGCCCCAGAATCTGGTTAAAGGCTCTTAAAATAATTATTTGTAAAATATATGTTCAATAAATTAATGTATTGAACTCTCGTCTTTGTTTTTTTCCAGTTTCTAAATTCAATCTGTGCTTTTGCTTTTCCAGACCCACACCAGTAATCCGCTGGATTAAAGAGGGTGGGGAACTGCCAGCCAACAGAACATTTTTTGAAAACTTTAAGAAAACTCTCAAGATTATAGATGTTTCTGAAGCTGACTCTGGGAACTACAAATGTATAGCAAGAAATACATTAGGTTCTGTTCATCATATCATTTCAGTAACTGTGAAAGGTAATACTAAAATAATCCTTAATGTAATATTGTCAGTGTCCAGAATGCAAGATTGAAGTAAGCTTTCTAGGATAAAATATAGCTGAAAGGATGAATGTAATGGTAAAAAAGAAAACCTGAGGAAATGATCATTAAACTGACTGAATTCTACCGCTGGAAGGACTTTACTGTCTCTAATCTATTTGTCTCTTTTTTAATATGTTATTTTTTAAAGCAGCAGGCTGAATTGAGATTGTACTCTAACAGTAGTAAAATCATTCCTTAGCTTGTACAAGTGCACTTAATTTAAATCCTTTGATTATCTGTCATTAGACTTCATCTTTCACTTGTTTTTGTATCTATCTTCCCATCTCTCTTCATCTCCTTCCTATTTTCTCCATCTTTTCTGCTCTCCATTCAAATAGCCCAGATTCTTTCTCTTTTCTCTGTTTTACTATTATTTTATGGTGTTATACTCTTCTTCCTTTTTCTCTCTTAATTGACATTTCTGGTTTTCTGTCTTCTTCATGTTTTTTACCCAAGATTATATCTTACTAGTTCTAAAAACACAGTATATTTGTCCAAATAGGAATCATAAGTATGTTTTGAATAACATGAAACAAAAAATCTGGAATGACAGCTAATTAGACATTGAAATAATCAACTGTAGTGCTTACTTTGCATGCTAAATAGCCATTTATTTTGTTGTAGACCAGCATCATTTTATGATCACATTTAACCTCCTTTATAAGAGCAGAAGTTTAATTTTCGGTTTGCATCTGTCCATCAATCAAAAATCAGAAATTTAGCTGCAAGATGTGATAACATATGCTATTTGTGGTTAAGAGATGGAGATGTAGATGAATATCTTTTGGTAAGGACAGTGTTCCATCCATTTTGGTCTCTGTGTTATTTCAGCTGTCTCAGGTAAACATCTGGCCCCACTGCAATCACCCATTGAATTCAACGAGACTGAGGATTTTGCCATTTCTAAATTTCACCCTTGAAATGAATTTTTTTTATGTAATCAGACCTAAATTCATTTCTAACAGCCTAACTGCTGTGAGCGTGGATATCTGAAATTGATCGAAAGACCACTCTAGTCTCTCCAGATGACATACTCAGATGAATTTTGCTTTCTTTAGGAAAGGCGAATTAGATTCAAATCAGGCAACCGTAATTGAAACAAAGAGCCTCTTGTTGCTTGTCTCAGAATTTTAGTGGAATGGGTAGCAAATAATTCAGTTTAGACAAAGTATAATCTACCAGTTAATCATTGAGTATCATATATGTGTGTATATATATATATATATATATATAAAAAAAAAATAACAGCTTAAGTCTATATTTATGCATACCTTGTTTGAATTATCTTCTGGTTACCATGACTGTGCCTTACGATTTTCTGTACATAATTTTGGAAAACACTTGCTGTGTTTGTCTTTCTAACTGCAGCTGCCCCATACTGGATTACAGCACCCAGAAACTTGGTCTTATCTCCTGGAGAAGATGGGACATTGATCTGCAGAGCTAACGGCAACCCAAAGCCTAATATAAGCTGGTTAGCAAATGGCGTTCCCATAGCAAGTAAGATTCTTAATTACCTATGGGAGGATGAGTAAGAGAATATGAGGAATATCAGGGTGTTTATTTCAAATATAAATAAAGACTGTGTGTTTGAGTAGTTTTTGCCTGACAGGTAATACTAAATTATGACGTGATAAAAATACTGTGGTTCCTAAAAGTGGAACCACAAAATGTGCCTCTAATGTGTTTGAGAGCACTAAAATTTGCGACCGTACTCCTGCTTTTTCTGTCTGGTGTTGTGCTGGTAGTGTCCTTCTGGAGATGGGGCTGTAGTAACAAAGCTGCGCCTTGCCCCTTTTACAGTGATATTGCTGGGCTGTAATCTTGACCACTGTGTTGCCATGGCCGTCATGTTTGCTAGGTCTCTCCTTTGCCACCCCACTGCAACATTAATTTTGTCTAGGAATCATAAAGGTGACATAGAAAGTCAAGTCTTCCCCTCTGTGGATGTACAGAGCACTTTTGCAGGATTTGCAGCTCGGAGTTATGTTTGAGCCTTCCAGGCTTCATCATTAAAAAGCAGCAACAGCAAAACCGACGGAATGAGTCAGCAAGTGCCTGGCAAACAGCTTGTGCCAAGTAGGTGTCAAAGAAAAGGAACCCCTAAGGCAATGAAACAGCTGTTTCTGTGTGCAAGGGTAAGAAAAGCAACCCTGACCTGGTGATTGAGTCACTTAATTGTTGCAGCGTTGTGACTGGCAATGCTGTATGACAGGCACAAGATAGCTGCTATACATAGCACAACTTTACTTGGGAAGAACTTGCTGGAGGACACTGCAGTGTGTTGTCACTTGGGTTTGCGCTCGGCATAGCCTGTACCATAAAATCACACTTGGTTCTTCTACCTTTATCCTTCCTTTTTCACAAAAAGATGTTAGAAGAACAGACGATCTACATTGTTGACTCGTGAGAGATAATGTGCTCTGAAATACTGGTGTGTGCAGACCTATTGAAAGTATGACAGTGTAACTTTCAGGAGTTGCAGGACATGTTTTAAGTCTGTTGATGAAGTGCATGACATGGAGTTTGGAACATGGAGGAGGATTCTCTAGAGTCTAGGAAATAGCAACAGGTGAATGAGAACCCTTATTAGATATATTCAAAATATTTGGGATACAAGAGAGATTAAATTGAACTGGAGGGAAAACTATGCAACTTTAGAGGGAAAAGTAAGGGTATATATTGAAACAGAAATATTTAGCAAAGAACCTGTTTCAGGAATCCTAATTAAATGTAGGTTGAGATCACTAATGTAAGTTTCCGTAGGTTAAGTAAGTTACATAAGCTGACATTAACCACCTCATCAAAAAATGGTATTACAGGAAAACAAGAAAATACCGATGTAATTTTGTATTGTATATATTGTACGTAAATATGTCATAATGCCTGTCTTATAATCAAAGTTTGGTACCTGTTCTGCTCTTTCCTTCCTGGGTTTTCAGTGGTCTCATCTTCCTTACTGTTTTCTGTATAGTTACCATTAACTTTCTTTGGTTTCGAGGTTTTTATCCTGATAGTTTAACTCTTCTTTTCAGGCCTCTTGACTAGTAAAATCTTTTTCACCTGGCTATGAGATTCACTTTTGCCCCGCACTGCTCCCTTGTCAGAGCTGTTGGACGTGCTTTTCAAATGACAGACAAGTACATTTTCCAGAAAAGCAATGATGGGTTCTGCATTCTTGCAGGACAGCAGCAAAACGTTAAGAAACAGAGATTTTTCACAAGCAGCTGCAGGATGCCACTGAATTTCCCAGATACAAGGGCAGCATATATTGGCTTGCTGGCCTTGAGGAATCAGTACACAGAGTCTTATTGAATGGAACTCAGTAAAAATTGAGACTTTAATTAAATTACCCACTCAAACTCAGAAGGAAAAAAAAAAAAGAAAAAAACAAGAAAAAAACACAGGAAATAAATAACTGGGTAGCTCAGCCTTATGTTAATGAAGGTCACTTTTAGTGCTGAGAAAAGCTGAAGTTTTAGCCACCTTAAATATCGCAAGTGCGAGTTGATTGGATGCTCCAGTATACTGAATCTGTCAGAGCATCTGAGAAAGAGAAGCATTTCCATCAACAGAAAGTGGAACTCTTAAGATTCTTGTGATTTTGTATTATTCTGAGTTATCAAAAGCTGGTCTGGAAACTACCAAGTACACTGTGCCTTTTTGTTCACTTGTTACTAAATTACAGAATTGAGCCCCTCCTTCAAACTGAATGATTAGTAAGTCACTGTAAAAGGAAACTAAAGCAGCTGTTTCAGCTTCAGGGCAGTTCTGAGAGAGCTACACCCATGGCAGGATTTCAAAGAAAAAGAGCTACATTTGAATTTCAAAGCCCTGCTGTCATCATATATCCCACAATGTGCCTCCTGTGGCCCAGTAATCTGTTTGCAATACTTTAATTTCTATTGGAGAGCACAACTGGGAGATGCTTAATTCTTCCGGTTTTGTTTTTCCATAATAGAGTCAGACAAGGAAGGGGCAATGTTGAAGAAAGAGCCATTCGTCCATATCTCAGTCAAAGGGTGAGGCTTAAATACCAATAGGGAAAAGGGAAGAATAAAGAAAAATGTAGTGTGTCTTAAGCACCTATGAAAAATAATTGCAATGGTGTAAATTTTGTTCCAGATTATATTAATCCCAGTAAAAAAATATTTTTAAAGGAAGATTTTAGGGTTTTTTGAAATTAATTTTAGTTAATTTACTTAAACCGTAACACTTAAAAGAAAAAATCCAGCATGTCTGAAAAGAAAGCTGTTTCAGACATGCTGGAGTGATAAGGACCTAACCTCCTAATGTTTACTCGCAGGAGTAATTTGAACTTATATGCACAGTCCCATTGAGGTCAATTAGAATTACTTTGGCAAGTAGCAATTGAAAGTTCAGGCCATGACTCTGCCTTGCCTTGTGCTTCAATTAGCACTCAAGGTCTGCATTATTTATACCACTGCATAATCCGTTGTGTTTTACTGCTTAGATATTTGGCGTGGTTTTACAAAAGGGTAACCATGCATAAAGTATCTCAACTTTTAAGAAAGTAACAACCCAGATTAATTGGGAAGGGGAAGCACTTTCATAATTGGACTTCAGAAAGGCATTGCAAATACTGCACAAAAGACTAATTTATTGGTTCAGTGGTTTATAGTTCATGATGAGCTATTAAATATTAAATACACACACGTAGATTTATACAAAGTAGTGCACTGAAAGGCTCTGTTTATCTTCTTTCAACATGTTCTTCACTTGTTTATATCACATTTCACATTGAATCTTAGGGTTTAGTTAGTCTCCATTAGTAGTCACATTGAATTTAAGTGAGAAACATTAGCCCTTAGATTTCCTTCGTGAAAGCCCTTGATAATCCCTGGCTCAGAGAGTCGTTGTCCATCATGTTCTCTGTGAGTACACACACAAGCTGTTCACCACAGCCGTGGGAGGGTGGGGAGAAATCTGCTGGACTCTGATGCCCTGAGGAGTTCCGTCTCAGAGAGCAGAGGACTGCCAGGGCAGACATCTATCCGCTGCTCCTGCTGTCATTCTGTTGGAACTGTGCATCTGGCCTAGGAACTGCGGCAGATACAAAAAACTTTGATAATCAGTTTCTTTTATTCTGCACAAGACAGTCAGAGGATGGTTGTGGGTAGTGCAGGTAATAACCTGCTGTCCCTTTGGAGCTAATAATACTATCAGAATCAGAAGCTTGGAAACAAGAATTTCAGTGATCACAGAAAAATATTTTGCTGAGGAGCAAGTGAGATTGGTAAGAAAAGGAAAAGGGCATCTTCTTCCATGTCGCATCTCTTCCAGAATTAAGTCTTTGTCAGTTCACTGTAAGGGGTAGAGTAAGGCAAAACTGGATTACTTAAATTTCTTGTTTTTCTTGTGTAGGTTCAATTTTGGTTTGACCCCGTAGGTTCTCAAGTGTCTGATGTACTATACTGCCCACCCTTGCTGTTTCACTACCTGTTTTGTGTTCAACTCTGCAAGCATAGCTTCCAGCCCACCCCCCTCCAAAACAGAAGGAAAAAGGATTCTAGTCACATAACATTCTCTAAATACATAATATGGTATTTGTGCAAGATTATCAGAGATGTGAGAAAACAGGCCTGTCTGGCATAATAGCCCCTGATTTGGGCTTTCAGATGTTATGAGAAAAGTCAGCTACAGCCAGAGGAATGTTAACTGGATGCTTATTTGTAGACCGTAAGGTCTACAGAAAACCAGGAGGTCCCTCCATAAGGGACATGTCTTCTTATTAAGCCACCTTGATGACTACACACTGGATGTTCCTCCCAGTTTTCTTGATTGGTTGGTTGGTTGATAATGTTACGTCCTGGTTCTACCAGAGTCTCCTGTTGTCATAGGTAATCTGAAAACAGATGTCCAAAATTACACAAAAAATTCTTTAAAAATCACATTTCAATAATTCAATTGTAGTTAGTTTTAACCACAGAAAGACTTTTCTAGTTTTGAAAATAGTTAGTGTATTCATAAATTACTCATGAATGTGAGTTTTTGGAAGAATAAGCAGGTCAAGAAGAATGATAAGATACTTCTAGCGAAAGTTCTATAATACAAATGATCCTGTGGTCCTGTCAGAACTTGAAAAGTGTACATGGGCATCACTGTACAAGGTCCATATGTTCCTACATTCATATTAGAAAAAAAGCACTGAACCTCCTGTCTTTGCTTTCTTCATATATTTCCACAATAACAGGATCTTCAAAGCTACGCGTGAAGTATAGAGTTGTTGAAAATCATGGTTTGAGAGCCAGTACTGATCTCATCCTCCTGTTTATGTTCACTATTATTTGTGCGTAAACTTAAGGACAGAATTATAGTAAGAGTAGAACTACAACAGCAAATGATCAGTATGAAAATCTGTTGCAGGAGAAGAGTCAGAGATCACTCAGATCACACTGATCTAGTAGTTAGTTTATTGAGTTCTAGTCAGTAAATTTAGGTATGTAAAATATTTAATAAGTACAAATGGCTTGTCAGTC